CCCCCCCCCCCCACCCCCCACAGCCACCAAGCACAACACCCACACACACTCACAGCCAACACACACACACCCATGGCCACAACACACACACGCCCGAGGTCAATCACACACAACACTCACAACCACACACACACACTCACAGCCACCACCAACACCCATAGGCCCAACACAACCAGATGGAGCAAACAGCCATAAACAAAAAAGAGAAAGCAATTGAACCATCTCATATATAGCAAATTCCATTCCATTCATTCTAGAGGCCACAAACCAGAACAAGCAATAAGCAAGCCAAAGACCATAAATTGTAAGAGGCAAGCCAATTTTTACTTTCATCAACAACATTCACTTTCACCTTTTTCTTTAAATTATCCAAAAATTGAAAAATCTCGTAAAGAAAGCCATTTCATTGAAAAATCGCAAAAAGAAACCATTTCATCGATAAAACGCCAAAAATTACATATAGAAGCACATTCCTTCTAAATTACTTACAGAGCGGGAGTCGACCAAGGAAGAGGTGAGCGAGCAATATAGGAGCGTTTGAGGGATAGAGGCGAGCGAGGGGGGACCTAGGGCAGAATGGAGGTCGAGCGAGGAAGAAAAAGGGTAAGCGCGTAACTCCGAAAGGTAAGAACGCAGGTCGCGGGGTCGAGCCCGCGACCGTGTAAATAATAAAATGCGAACGGCATTGGTGGATAAGCAGGAGAAACGCACAAAACAAACGCCTCGACCGCGTTTTAAAAATGCAAACACACCAATAAGCCGCCCCAAACAGGCCCTTAGTTAACACCAAGAGAGAGTTTATAAAGAAGGAAAAAAAGGAGAGCACACATTGAATATCATCTTTCTTCCTAAACCTTAATCGTCATATTTAAATATATGGTTGATTTGAAAGTTGTTATTTTATTATGTAAAAGAAGACTTGAAACTCAGAAAGGTTTACGAAGATTTTGTGTCACTAATCAGTGGGCTAGAGTAGCCTTTTTCTCTCTTGAAGTAGAAGAGGGATAGGATTTATCTATTACCCATTAAGAATAAAAGTTTCTCTATCTTTTGGTAAAAAAACATATATACAAAAATCTCAAAAAAACTCGAGGAATGCATGTTGACCATTTGTGCCAAACCATTGTACATCAATTGGCATCACTTTTACTTTCAGCACTTTCATTTTCATTGTTATCACTTATTGTGATAAGTTTGTAATGTTTCATGATGATGTGAAACAGGTGATGCCGTAATTGTTGTTTTTTTAAAGAAAATCTGCAATTATATTTGCCAAATATCATTATATTCAATAAATTTGTTATGTGAAAGTGAGTTTTGAAAAAAAACAATAGAAAATTATGTTTCTTCTGCAAGTCTTGAACAATCAAAAGAAAAATATGTTATTTTCGCATATTAAAATTCAATCTTGCTTGAAAAGGAAAATAAAAGTTTATATCCAAAATTATTTTAAAAGTGCTCCAATCACACACACCCCTTCCCTAGTACGCCAACACCAAAATAGCAGTTGAAATATCATAAAATAGTGAACTACTAGTTTAATATCATTATATCCTAGAGTCATCCTCTTAGCATAATGTGTGATAATATCATATCATAAAAGTACAATACCTTTATACTACTCTGGCAGTACTAATATTATAGGTGTTATAGTACCAACAATGGAGGAGTAGTGATGTATATTGTTCCTTAGCATATCCATTTGTTCACTTTGATTTGGTCATATTGCATAAGAATCAGCTTAATCTTAATTGACATAAGATAAAAAAAATTAATACTTTCTTCTCAAACCATCCAAACTTAATCACCACCCTCCTAGCAAAAATTCGTGCCAAAATCAAATTCTTCCCACCACTATTCACCATATGAAATCTATCATAAAACCCCGTCAACTAAAAACCCTAAACTCTCAGAAATTGATAACCCTACATAACTGAATGAAAGCTCCAATTCTCTAACCACAATCCAACATCCAAAATTTGGTACAAACTTGCTTCGCCTGAATTTGAATTATTTACATTGATATGCCACAATGGTCAATATAGATAGAATATTGTAGGTTAGGTGCTATATATATCGTAAAATTTTTAAATAAAGGATAACATGGCTTTGTTTGATATTTTTTTATCGGCTAAATTAGATACAAGCCTTGAATATACATTTATCAAAAGTTTCACTGACATTAAATGGAACTAAGAATATGCATTCAAGTTCAATATTTTTTATCATATGCTTTTATTAGTAGAACAATAAATGATTGATGACATACAATTGATGGATCTAAAATAAAAAGTTATCAATTAACATTGCACAAGGACCAAATGATATAGGTTTAACTACCTTAGATGTATCGGACCAAAAACTGTGGTTATAGATGAGACAACTTCTTCTAGAATTAAAGTTGAGATATATAAATTGAAAAGTAAACAAGTACCATTTGATGAGGCAATAACACGGAGGCTTAAATTAGATCATGAAAAACTACAATTAGAGTTGTTGTGTTATGGTCCAAATTTTGAGACACAAGGAAATCATTAGGATTTAAGTTAAATTTGGTAAAGATAAAAATAGTCAGATGAATATTGGTAAAATAATAAAGAATTTATTGATAAAATACTACTAGAAGGCAATGAACTTGTAAAAAAATATCTTTAGATGGTTTGAACATATAAAGTGGAGGGTGAAAGATACACCAATCATATCTCTGAGGAATAGAAAAGAAAAGGAGGTTAAAGATAACAACTAGAAGATGTTTAAAAAAGATATTATAGTTGGCACGTCATATAGCAAACAGCATAGAAGAATTAAAATTAAAGTCCAACTTAGTTAGTCAGTATAAGGTGAATGATCATGTGAAACAAAACCATAGATATGAAAGACACAAGTTATCAAACAAGAACGCGACTATGCAAAATAGCACTAAGATGAGTAAGATAATTTATCAATTCAAAATCATTTAGAGAAAAACTTTTTTGGGGCATTTACCACATTCGACACAATTATTTTGTATTTACTTATCAACATTTAAACTTTCATATTTACATGCATAACACTCAAACATTTAATATTAAATAAAAATATCACTATTATTATTATTATTTTTAAGTGAGATACACCTTTTCATGCATAGGTTTATGCCACCAAAGTATTATAAAAATAAATATAAAACTTTAGGTAGATGTATAAATACATGGGAATTGTGTGGCATGTATGAAAATTTCCCAAAATTTTTTTCTCAAGACATCGCAATATGAGAACAAAAATATTTCCATGTGGTGACTTCAATCAGTTAAACAAATTTAAAGGCACTGACTTTTGCCAGCATAACTAGTCTATTATGACAATTTCAACTTGCATAGTTGTATATGAACAAACATATAATTTCTTAAAATGTTCAAAGATTGTTGTCATCAATATATTTAGATTATGTATATAGTATCCATAATTTAAGTTATATTTTTAGGCATAAAAGAGAAAATGTCTGATTTATTTTCCAATACCATTTTAAATTTGTGAATTTCTTGTTTAATAAATTCAGGCTAATATATTTCCTTTTTCAAGTCAACTCTGGTTGTTCTGTGATGTCAGCCTTCCACACCTTTTCCTCAAGCTTGAAAGAGATAGTAAAGCTATCACAGGATTCACAAAATCATGAAATATAAATGCTAACAGACAGGCAGCTGAAATCACATGAAAGATCAGCAAAGAACTTTATTCAATAAACAAATAAAAAAAAGCTCATGAAACTCACGTGATTCCACAATTTATTCCCACCTTTTTTAGCAAGAGCAAAGGCATCAGTTTGTGCATACAATAGAGCAGTCCAATCACCAAGAAATCACAGCGATCAAGTTGGTGACTTCATTGACTTAAACTAAGTATGCCCAAATATATGGGGTAAACTTTTCATTAGCTTCATCAAAGAGCATGCCTGTAGTCGCTCGCTGAACAGTTTTGGTTGCCAAGAGGAATCGACCTTTCTATATTTTACCAAAGAATCATAGAATTAAATTGATTATTAAAGAAGAAAAGGGGACGATGAGGTGCCCTAGCTCATCTGACATGCCCTTAATCATAACTTCCAGAGCGACATGTCAAGGATGAGCTAACTTCACCACGCATCTAATGTAATAACACATTCACCGGAATACAGAAGAACCATATCATACTCAGACAAGAAAATAATGTGCATTTGGGGAAGATTATGTTTTCTTCACAAGGAAGAAAATTTAGAAAATGGAAAATGTCATTGTATTAACTTCAGGCTATCATCAAAAGCTATCAGCAATCAAAGAAGCAAACCCAACGTTAACAAAGACGATAAGCAGAAACAGTGAGACTTACCGGCAACGTCCTGACCATCGTAAACGCCGCGATGAACGGTGCCGAAAGTACCGCGAGCTATGAGACCCTTAATGAGGAGCTTAGCGGGATCGATCTCCCATTCCTCTCTCTCCCTCCTCCTTTTCACATCCTCTTCCCCTTTCATCTTCTTCTCCATAGTCAACGCCCTGCTCATATGCCTTTCCAATTGCTCGTCAAGACTCCGCAGATCAATCTGATCCGCACGGACAAACCCTCCTCCTCCGTCTCCCCCTTCCTTCATCTCCCACCAAATATTCTGTGTAGACGATGATGGACTTCTCTAACTTGGTCTATGAATTGTGATCGACGTCGTGAAATGCAGCGCGCTTCTTCGAGGTCTTCCTTCTTGCCTCACATGGTGTGGCCTCTTCGGTTCCCAAACGCCTGCAAATCCTGTAAGCTCCAACTTCTATGCTCCATGTGAGCACATGGGATGCCTGCGGAGGACCAACTGCTGTTTTTATAATTTTTTTTTTTAAATGGTGCGATTAATCGTGACCCTCCATGGACAGATTCTACGCCCCTCCCTGATTCAATGTTCTTTCTCTCTTCTGATTTTTCCTTTTGGAGAGATCTTCAGCGCGGCAGTTCGGACTCCTCGTTCAATGGATGCGAGCTTTTATTTCATATTTTTATCTAATTATGAAAAAGAAGAGGACGCACATTTGGTTGATTTTTACTGGCTATCAAGAGTTGACTCTCATTACAAGTAGAGTATGTGACTATCATTTGTGTAGGTTGTGATTTAGATCGGAAGGTAAAGGTTAATTGAGCAATTTATTATATTAGTTTAATTTATTTTAATTATTAAAAAAATATAAATTTAATATGAAATAATATTATAAATTTAGCTAAACATAATAATTTATTAAAATTTAATAAATCAAATAATATTATTAAATTATAATTTTTTGTACATTGTTTTAGAGGAGACTAAAATCAAAATAAATTTGTATGGGCAAGTGTTGCATGGCTGACAACACAACAGATTGGTTTTGAGAATGCATGAGCTATCTTATTTCTCTTAAAGAGAGTAGCTTAAGGTTTTATTTCAATATTCACGGTGGGGACTAATTCTAGTTTAGGCGTGGGATTAGAGGGAACCGTAGCATTTAATATTTGTTTTTTTTCTGATATTTATGGACAATACAATGCGGGAGAGCAAAATATTATGCATTTTTTTTTCATGACATTTGCATAAATTCTGCCTACTTCTTATTTATTTACATATCCAATATAAAAATATTTATTTTTAATTTATAATCCTAGCTAAAATTATTTAAAAGCAAATAAAATTTAATATTTTTTAAAATACAACATTAATAAAATTTCATATCAAAATATCAAATTTATTTATTTATTTATTTATTTATTTATTATTTAATTAGTTTGAGCCAAATCGAGTCAAACATGAGCGAAAATTTATTTATTATTTAATTAATTTGAGCCAAATCGAGTCAAACATGAGCGAAACAAACATTGCTTGATGAACTAATCGAAGACAAGATATTTAACGGGTCGAACAAGAATTGTTCACAAAAAACGAGCTTTTGTGACGTCCCTAGATGTATGCATAGTTATTAAAAAGGTAATAATTATAAAATATAAATGTACTTGATGTATCATCAAGACATTTTTTTTCATTAAGTATGAATTTCAATGCATTTTGAGCAGAAAACATTGTAAATTCAAATTCACGATCATCTGAACCTCAATTCCAATAAATTTATAATCAAACTGAGCGCCTCAACAAGGCAAACTTAGTGACACTAAAAATAATTCAATTCGAGTCCAGATAAACCCAGATCAAGCACCTAAGCATTATTAAAGGCTTTGATGTAACAATTGTAATGTTAAACAATTTCAAAATTTTGCATGATTATAGTCAGACCATGTTGCTTGATGATAGGAATTTAAAAAGCTTAAGATGATTTATTTTTTTGTCATTAAAACACTTAAAGGTTAGAAAAAGGTCGATGTGACTAAGGGAATCAGTGTGAACCATTTGACTGAGTATTTTAGGATATTGACCAAAATTACCAAAACAATCCTCTCAAAAGTTATAGATAGCCTCTCATTCTTCACTCAAAGGGTAAGGAGAAGAGAAGTGTAAATTGTCTTCTAACGCTTAACTCTTAAAGTCCTTACAGTTGTCGTCGTGTCCCGAGATCACGGTTAATCACTAGACTTTGTTACCCACCACAAAAGGTCACTATCAACCACTAGAGGTCATCTACAATCCTTAATCGTTGTCGAATGGCGCCAACTATAGTTTTGATCACTCTAATTACGACCATTAAAGCCTTCCGCAACTGCGGTTTTTATAGCCAACTATGAATTTGATAGTCTCACCAAAAATATTACATTTAAATTATGATAGTTTTAGTTTCAATTACCCTTAAAAATTATATATGTTAGGCTATTTCAAAGCAGTTATCATTTCAACATCAACTTATTATTTCAGCTTCTCTAGTCCATGTGAGAAGTTGACATTTTTACTCATGATTATATATTGGATTATTTTAACTGGGTCAGTCCTCATGATATTTTTTTCTTTCTGGAATTTTTTCTCATTAAAAAAAAGGTGTCTCTTCTTATTACTTTTATTTTATGAGTGTGTTGGATCTTGATGCAATGCCACATTAAATGATTACTCTACCTCACGGGCACGCAATAGCTTGGTATCATTTGTGAGAAACACAATCCCACCTTTTTTATGGCTTCTAAGTGTCACTATTGCTATAGCGGAGCTGCCCACTCTAACACCCACCAATCTATGTGATGATCTCAAAGTCATATATATATATATATATATGAAGAAAAAAATTCAAATAATTTATTTTTTTTGGCATGAATCTTTATGCGGTTGGCGCTAATCTCAGAGCAGAAGGCAAGTCTCGATGAAAAGATAATGATGAACAAAATCTTCACCAGAAAAACGCCATACGAGCAATTGTTTGACATGACCTCTACTTAAAAATCTCAGAAGATTGCAGGCATTAGACGATAAACATATATATAAAAAATCTCTGAAGGTATAAGCCTCAAAATGTACATTATTTTTCTTTATACAAAACATAACTTTGATTGCAGACTCATAAATATTTAAAAAACTAAAGAATCTCAAAAGACATGAGACTCAGAAGGTTTGATGCCACTATGCTTCTATTACAGAGATGAAAAGATTAATAATGACTCACTAGTTGCTTACTTTTTTCTTTTATTTTCCCACATGCTTGGAGTCTATTTATGTGCATATTTGCCGAGTTTAGGGTCAGATTATTTGTCTTTCTTTCAGACTTCTGTTAAGATAGCCGCTGAAGTCTATTTTTCCCCTTCGAGTGCTATATCAAAGGGATTGGGTAATACTTTGACTGTATCTCTTTCCTGAGGTAGTGAATTTTTTCCTCCAAGGCTCTTTACCTCGCTGCAGCCACCTGCAACAACACTCGAATTACTATTTATTTCAGTCTTCAGCATACCAGCCACCTCCCCCTCACATTGAGCATTGTTGCCACCCAAATTGCACCTCCGTCTCGTTGTTCTAGCCCAACCACCATGTCGTTGCCGCCCAAGACAGTCGGGGAGCACCTCATTCCTGTTGTTCCACCGCTGTCTACCCCAACTCCTCACTACCACTCTCCAAGACAGCAAACATACTTGTTATCCATACATGTTTGCACTTCCCCCTCACTGCCACTAGCATATTGTGGTTGTCGTCATCCTCACCAGTCATTCCAATCCACTCAACCGACTTCATCACCCATGGGATACAATTTAGTAGTGCTTGTTTGTGTCGTGTTATTGTATTTTTTTACTCAAGTGTGTTAGTTGTAATTAGTTATTTGCTTCAAGTAATTATATTTCTTGTTCTACTATGGTTTAAGTTAATGTTGGTATCATGAATATTGACAATTCTTGGCTTTATGTCATTCCACAAACATCAAGTATCGCTGATTTAATAATATTTGTCTTTATGTTCAACTTAAATAGTTACAACTTTCGACAAAATTGCTAGATATTGGAAGGCATTGTAAACATTTGAAGAAATGAGAATTTGACATTAAAAGACTTGATTCACATGTTACAATACTATTGAAAAGAAAAAAAAAATTACTAACATATCAAAATATCAAAGCTCCACCCGAAAGAGAGAGAGAGAGAGAAGCAAAACTACAAAAAAAAAATTAAATTTGATTGATTTATAATATCTTTGCATGTGCTCATGTGATGGTCTTAAAGATCGTAATAACTACACTTATGGACTCTCTCTTTTTCTTGTTTAAGCTCTCCATAAACCTTTTAAATTTGCATTTTCTTGGTCGGGACCTTAGCTTCATTGTCTTTAGCAAGTCAATTGCAAGTGCAACGACATATGCATTCCATTGTTCATTTCATAACAGAGTTGATGTAACACATTCATGCGTCATCTTATATATGCAATACAAATAAAATTATAAGCAACAATCGATGAGTTAAACAACATGATAATGAATGACACTTGTAAACATAATAATGATCATATTTATATATGTTTTATAATTGATGTATTTTTGTTACTATAAAATATAGTTGTATGGAGACATAATAACTAGAGTGTTTGCCACAATTCATAGTTTATATTCTCTAGCCCAAATATTTTCTTAATGTATGTTATGAGGATCTTCTACCTCAGTCTTATTATTTGTTGTCTATTTGATAATAAACTAAACATTTTCAATGTTTTTTTTTTTTTACGTACTATAAAAAGAAGAGAATTTACCTCTTCTTTCCACATAGATGTGTTTTTTTTTTGCCCTTTGCTCTATTAGCATAACTCTAATCTTATGTATCAAATCAACCACAAGTTTAGTTTGAGCCTCTCCAAAATATGAATTGAATGATCTTATCATATTATCTATGATATAGTGATTTTTTATCTTGAGCAAAAATTTAATATTATCTATAATATAGTGATTTTTTATCTCAAGCAAAAACTTACATATAAATCATTTGCATGAAAGTTTTAAGTATATAGGAACAGAGGAATGAGTCAAAATTTAACAAATCATCTATTCTAGGTTCAAACTCATGTCTTGTATAAGCATTAATTTACAATTGACAATATGATGCTTTAAATATTTTTATTATGTTGTAATAATTATAATTCTTAATATTCTTAGAAAAAACTTGTTAATATCTTCACAATCCATTTTTCATATAAAAATAAATAAAATATAACTATGCAATTTTAGTGCCAAATGCTTTGATTACTTTTTAAAAAAATCATTGCTACATTTTGTTTAAGATTTAATAACTGCAAATGCTATGATAAACAAACCATTATTATTGTTAATAGAATTAGTATATAAGAAGATATTCAAGTACTTTGAATCTATATTGCATGAATTAAGAACTACTAGATTCATGCAACCAGCAATAAACTATTGATGTGTACCTTTAAACCTATAAAAAACCTCTCGAAGGAATTGCCTTCAACATCATAAGTCAATGTTATGTGGGAGCCAGGATTTATATTGAGTAGCTCTAAATTCAATTTGACCACCCACTTAACGTTTTCATCGACCAATCCATAAGTCCTATCATGAGCTAACTCTCCCGCGAGCTATAGTTTCTTATATGGTAAAGATAAGCCATATGTCTACTATAAGCTATTATTTATTCATTTTGGTGAGATGTCGAGATGTTTTTTAACCATGTCTTGAATCTCATAAGCAACTTTGTTGGATGTCTTTTGCTACTTCACGACTCTAATAAACCTTAAAAAAATGAAAAGCTTCAAATTTCATAACTTTAAATGTTTTATCATCTTTATATATCGAAGCCCTAAGCTTCTTGGACACCCTCTTTAAAAGCAAGTGTTTATGCTTTGTCATGCCACATGCTATAATCTTGAATCCCAAATTCCTTATAATAGTTTTGAATAATATAAATTATTTGGATCTTGTGGAGACAACAAGAAAAATACCAACATATATAGCTTTGCATCTACAACTTCACTTTTAAAAAGCATTATATGAATCAAGTTCTATGAAATTTTTACCATGATCGTCAAAAGTTGAGTCATAATATTGTGGTATATGACTATGAATTTTTGTGGTGATTGAAACTCTCTTAATCTCTTAAAAATATTATAAAGTAACAATTGTTTGAGCTCAATGACAGTCATCACTATATTACCTCTTTTATCAACTTATGATTCGATCCAATAAGCTTGTACTTTTTAAGGGATATATCATGTATATAGTAGTAGTGCTCCTAACAAGAATCACATATCTAAGGGTAAATCTCCTTCAATAGCTCATGAAATACTAAGAACATCTTTTCAAGCTTAATTATTGTTTGTTTTCTCTCTTAATATTTTATTCGACCTATATTTCATCAAATTAATTATAAAGATAAATGTAAATGAAATGTTCAGTAGAAATAACTCTAAAAATATCATGTAAACTTTTAGAAAGGTCGGAATTTTGTGTTGGCTTAAAAGGCATGTTGATAATAAAACATCTAAAATGAAATCTCTTTTACATCAATTTGTAACGTTGCAAATTCAAAAAATAATGACAAATTATTATATGAACAATGATGCAAATTCTAGATGGTAAAGAAGCACCATACAAGTTTGAAAAAAGTCACTTTGATAAATTTTAATCAGCGAATTATATAATAGAGCAAATTATACTAGATTAACAAAACATAGAATCATAAAAAATGACCCAAAAAAAAAACAAGCATAAAAGGGGTAGAGGAGGCTTAAGCTCCAAATTCCCTTCCAAAGTTGATGGATTCTCAAAATCATGTATGATGTCATGAGCAATTTCATTCTTGTAATACACACTAAGATGAACATTTCTAAAATCATCACCAATGATGCTTAATCAGTATGAAACAATATTTACTGTTGCAAGTGTTAGGCTGACCAAGTTCATTTCTGAATTATTCACCAAACAATGTAAGTGTTTTAGGGATTCACAATGTGTAAGCCATCACCTTGAGTTCACCTTAGTGATATTAGTGAGATTGCTATACGTTGCAAATTTTAAGATTTTTTATTTGCAAAATTTTAATGCGTGATTTTTTTTTTCATAAGCTCAAAGGTTGCAAAGTTAAGTGACAAAAATTATTAGAATTTACTAGAAATGAAATAACATGATCTGACTAACAAAAAGACTTTCAATTACATTGTAGATCAAGGCACATGATTCACACATTTTTTTCTCATTCAACAGAAGAAATATTTATATTCTTTGGTTAGAGGTTATGCTAGAAAGAATAATTTTTTTACTAATTGAAAGAAAATTATATTTGAAAGGAAATAAACTGAAAAAACTCGGATTGCAAATATTATTAATTAAAAGTAAGCAAATAACAAACCACATATAAAAAAATTATACACCAGAAGAAAACAAAGTTAAAACTAAGTTTTCTACCAATCTATCAATGCACTCATACTCTCACTCTTGCCCATGACCTTGCCAATAGCTCAAACTTATGCTCTTAATGTTGTCTCACAATGCCTAGCCAGGGACTTTCACGAGAGAGATGTAAGGGAGAGTGAAGTAAACATTAAACCATATGCAAAATTACAAACCATAAGCAAGTAAATGTGATAGATAACTCAATTATCTACTAACCTTACCATGCCCTCCTACTCTTGATCTCTCCAGGGCACCAACTCCTACTCTCTAGGATGCCTTGTAATGTCGAGCTAAAGACTTTCATGAGGGAGACTATTACTCTCACTCCTTGGATGCCTCATAATGCCGAGCCTATGAACACTTCCAAGTCCCGGTCGCACACAAGGCCGTGTAGAGCCTATGTCCTCTATGATGCCCTAATAAATTTTCGATGGGATTTCTCTCCACGAGAGAGATGAAGATAATGTTAATTTTGATAGGAGAAAATTTTATATAAATTATGTATTTAAAATAAAGTTCTAGCTGTTTGACATAACTAGGAAAGCTTTGAATGTAAAGTGTGTAGATTCCCCTATTACTTTTAAATTAAAAGACACTAGCAAATATTTGTTTCCCTATGCCAAATGAGTAAACCAGAAGACAGCGGACCGGTGCGGTTCCACTCGGGTCAAGTTCTCAATCCGGTTCGAACAATCACCGACCGCCGGAAGACCTCTACAAAACGAACTGGTTATCGATAAGCCTTCTCTGCGTGCCGTACTTTCTTCGCCATGGCGGTTGTACGATGCTCCTCTTCTCTCTTGTCGATGGCTTTATTCCATGGGCATCCTAGTTTCTCACTCCGCAGGCGGACCCTCATTGGTGATGCTCGACGGCTGATAAGCGCATCTGCGGTCCCTTCGGAGTCAGGTGAGGCATCTCGACCTACCGCTCATGTTTAACATAGGGCAGTTTAGTTCTACCTGGACTTTTAAATGAATGGCTTATTCTTAGAAGGCAGCCTTTCTCGCTCAAGAACCATGCTTAAAGACCTGAGCCTCGGTGAACTTGAAGTAAGCGTTCTGTTCTTCTACTAATTGCTTTCTATTTCTATTCGCCTCGCCATGTGTTGCTTGCTTCTCTGTGAAATCTTTTTTCATTGTTATACTTAAATAAAAACTTTGCTGGGATTTTCTTTAAACTTTTGGAAATCTACCTGATCTTTTGGCCGATGGAATTGGATGTAAGGTTTGGCCCAAGGTCTTTTTTTTTTTTTGCCGCCTGACATATGGCACATGCATTACACTGGGATGAGTTTGAATTACTTGGCATAATCTCTAGCTGTGATTCTGGAGCATCATTCATGATGATTCGTCGGCTTATCACGACTATTTGTAGTGTGCTTTATGAATTTCTCTTCTCCATCTAGTCTTGTTGAGTTTGTGTTAGGATTAATAAACATAGTGAGTCATTGGATTGAGTTAATATGTTCTAGCATGTCTCAGTAGTCATTTTTCTATAATGGGTATCAAAGTGATAGATAGTTAAGAGTCTTATAAATGCTCCTTTTTTCGTTGTTATACTTTTTTTATGTAGATTTCCTTATTTTGATAGCTTGCAAGCTTCATTGAATAGGCTTGGAAAAAATAATACTCTTGAATATCCACAAAATTTCACTTCTATTCCGAATAATAGATACATGCTGTTAAAGGATATTTTTGTGAAGGAAAATACAGTCACCATCCCAAATATAGAGTATATTGATTGCTTCCTATAGTGTCTATTGATTTCTTTATGTAGCAATGCAATACTAGCTCCATCGTGGATGAAGTGGGTCATTCTAAAATTTTTCCACGAGACACAACCTTAAGTAACTAGCCAAATCAACTTTGTATGTGTCCTTCTGTTTAGCATGATTATTGTTTACAAACAGCTAATCTTGCAAACATTTTATTAGAATATTCTTCTTATAAATTTCCTAATGTTAACTTGGTGTATTATGATATTGTTAGCCGATGTAAGGTTTGGCCCAAGGTCTTTTTTTTTTTTTGCCGCCCCGACATATGGCACATGCATTACACTGGGATGAGTTTGAATTACTTGGCATAATCTCTAGCTGTGATTCTGGAGCATCATTCATGATGATTCGTCGGCTTATCACGACTATTTGTAGTGTGCTTTATGAATTTCTCTTCTCCATCTAGTCTTGTTGAGTTTGTGTTAGGGTTAATAAACATAGTGAGTTACTGGATTGGGTTAATATGTTCTAGCATGTCTCAGTAGTCATTTGTTTATAATGGGTATCAAAGTGATAGATAGTTAAGAGTCTTATAAAAGCCCCTTTTTTCGTCGTTATGCTTTTTTTATGTAGATTTCCTTATTTTGATAGCTTGCAAGCTTCATTGAATAGGCTTGGAAAAAATAATACTCTTGAATATCCACAAAATTTCACTTCTATTCCGAATAATAGATACATGCTGTTAAAGGATATTTTTGTGAAGGAAAATACAGTCACCATCCCAAATATAGAGTATATTGATTGCTTCCTATAGTGTCTATTGATTTCTTCATGTAGCAATGCAATACTAGCTCCATCGTGGATGAAGTGGGTCATTCTAAAATTTTTCCACGAGACACAACCTTAAGTAACTAGCCAAATCAACTTTGTATGTGTCCTTCTGTTTAGCATGATTATTGTTTACAAACAGCTAATCTTGCAAACATTTTATTAGAATATTCTTCTTATAAATTTCCTAATGTTAACTTGGTGTATTATGATATTGTTAGCCATGAAGTTTCATACTTAGAAAATGATCTCACAAATGCAGCTCCTCTGGTGCCCATGCTTGAATTTGACTTTCAAGATGAATTATAGGCATGGGCGTATAATGACACCACAGAGGATATTGTGCCCTATTTTGGAGAAGTTCAAGAACTATCTCACAAGGAGATTCCTTTTAGTGGTGAACATTTTATTGAAATTTGATTTGCTTGATGGATTCATTGTTTGATGGAATGTATGTCTGAACAACCACCATTGGTTCTTTTGATGTCATTTTTGGTCCATTGTATAGGAGAACTATGATTAAATAATTTCTCTAAGCACTAGATGGATGCACACCTCCCTTACTTTTGTTACTCCATGGCTTTCTCACTTGAATTTATCTGTTTGTTTATGTGATTCAACTTTCAGGGCAAGGCCAATTATAAAGGTTTGTTAATCTTATGGTCAGTAAATATAAAGAATCATTAGATTGAGTTAATATGTTCTATTAATTCTTTGTAGTCATAAATCTTAATGGGTATTAATGTGTCTAATAGGTAGTTAAGAGTCTCTGTAATACTCCTATTTTGGAGTATTAGGGCATCAAGAAATAAAATGAGATCCTTTTGATATACTCTTCTTCCTCCACCTTCTTTCCATCCTGCTTTTTCTAGGAGTTGCCAGTGAATTGCAATCTTCATTCGTCCCTTGATCCTATAGATTCTTACGAGTCAGCTCGTGATACCATGTTGATTGTATTAAAATTTTGATATCCTTTATTCGTAGCTTTGTTAAGTACAGATTTTTATAACTGACTGTAGGAGGAGAAACATGTAATCTTAAGGAATTAAAATTGAAAGTTTGAATAAACTTGAAAGATCATTTTGTTGTTACGAGTATTTACTATGTTTTTAAAGGTTTGGAACATTAAATATGTCTTAGATACTTGTTAAAAACTTGCTAGCAAAATACACAAGCACATCCAAATTCCAAAAGATAGAGAGCAAAGAAATAAACAGTGAGAAGTACATAAAAGTTGGTATATCAATGTAGTCGGACTTGATATGGTTTTTTTTGTTACTTGCATATTAAAACCAGGAAAATAGTAATATTGAATTTTGACGAGGATATAGAAACCCCTATATCCTTTGTACCAATATACAATGTCATTCTTTTCTTGAAAAACTTTATTTGTGTTGAATAAGAAAAATTAATGGAGTAAATATCAGTATTAAAATCAAATATGTTTATTTGACATCATACTTTAGTTCTTCTCTTTTCATTTTTTTTAAGAAGCTTCTTTCACATATTATAATACATAAGATAGATTTAGTAATTTTCCATCATCAAGTGCATAACAAAATAATTTGTTTTAAAAGAAAATTGTCTTTCCATTGTGAGGGCACATCTGCAAAGTGCTCTAATACTAGTTGGCAATTAATACGATCCACAACCAATGAAGCACGGACACAAGCACCGGTACACGAACACAGGCACATGTACATGAACACAACATGCACAATATGAGGACACGACATATATGAAAAAAATAAGACACGACATGTCATGGACACATTTTCATTTTTAATTATTTATTAATATAAATTTTTTTTCATTATTCTTTATTAAAAATATAACAACACAAATTATGGGAGAATAAAATTTAACTTCATAAATTTAATTTATAATATAAAATCTCATACTTATGAAAATTAATTTTTAAAATTAGATATATACTTCAAATGAATTCATTCAACTTATAATTCAACTTATCTACTAAAATTTAAAAAATCCTATGATTACAAGGAGGGAATTATTGATATTCGGCCTCAACGAATATTGTATGCACCTTTGATGCTTGATTTTGATGAATATTAGAGGGAGCTTTAACATGATGAGAGATGAGCAGTTTACATTGATAATTTTCTATTTCCCATGTCTTATTTTCTCGAAATTGTGTTAAGCTTACATCCAATGCGGAGTTGTGGTGTGTTTAGGACGTATTGATGCCTGAAAAAAATTCATACATATCTTTTGTAGTGTTGGAGAAATGTCGGAGAAGTTTGGGGCGTGTCGAACAAGTGTCAATGTCTGATACATGTCTGACACGGGTATGACACATTCTTAGATGTGTCGGTGCTACATAGCACAACCAAAAACATCTACTAAAGATTGAATAAATTGCAATAGAGAGGTGAGTGAGCTTAAAAGAGGGTTGATTTTACTAATACCAAACAAGATACATAGTTGATCTATTGTTCAAGAGGTAGATCGTTTCTCCACAAACCCTAGAAGTCGTCAGGAACACCATGATAAAAGAAAAATTGTAGCCTAAACAAAAACATGACCCAATTAAGTTATTAGCTCTAAAATAACCCTCCCAAAAATCTTCAAACTCTCTCAAAACCCCATAATCTATCATCCTTGTGTCGTGCTTAGAGCCTTAGTGGGTCTCACCTGGGGGCAGGAATCCTTTGTGGCTGCACTAGGGTTTTCCGCTTTCTCCTACTAAACCGACCGGCCGACCGGCCACTGGAAGGTTGGAGTGGGCCGGTCGGCTGGGTCCAGACCGACCCTGCCTAGATCGATTTTGTAACTGGGGTATAAATACTCCCATCCCAATGAAGTACCTTGTCCTCAAGGTGGAATGATGGAAACTGCTTTTGGATCACTTCATAAGCCCCCACGTTGCTTCATAATATGACAGACCTTTCCACTTAACCAGTAACCAGTACTTCATTTGCTCCTGCCACTCCTCTGCGCACTCCTCCGACCTCTAACGATTCCAGAATCACCTTCTAGCAGAGCTTTAAATGAGTCAAGCCTGCTTAAGCTCTACTTGTCAACGAGCTCACAAGTCGAGCTTATCAAGTCATGAGCTTGAGCTCTAGCTCAAACTTGAGTTCATTTATTAAACGAGCTCAAGCTCGAGCTTGTCCCGATTCGAGTAGCCCGCCTCTAGTCATTTCAATGCATTTTCGGTTGAGATACTACTAGACCTGAGCGTTAGGTAGGTCGGGCTTGGCATGGGCTGGGCTTATTCGGGCTTTGACTAGTCAAAACGAGCTTGGGCCCGATTTCTATTTAAGAACTCATAGCTAAGTCCGCCCATACTAAACGTTAGGCTTGACTGGCCATGCCCACGGGCCTTATAAAGAAAAATCATTTTATTAATATATGCATGCAAAAGCATAAAAAGAAACAACTAAAGACAAAATATAAGTTTAATATAAATTCAATATTAAAAAATTAACAATTTATTTTCTTCTTCTTCTAAAAAGAAACAAAAAATAACAAATTCAAAAAGAA